GTATTTTTTTGTATTTTTTTTTTTGATTTTGGTGTTCTGAGAAGAGGGTATCTACTGGACTCCAAACAGTATAGTGAGTTCAGGCTGGCCTTGAACTCATTAGGTAGCCCAGGCTGGCCTGGAACTCATGGTGATTCTATTACAGCCTCCCCAGTGCTGGAATTGCAGGCATGTGCCACTACACCCAACTTTAAACAATTTCTATACATTTTTAAAGATCTAACTAGTACTTCAAATTATTATTATAATTTTCACTAAGTATGTCTAGAATGAGATAGAAAATAAAAATCACAACAAAATAAGAAAAAATTTTAAATATATTTTCATAAAATTAAAAAATAAAAATCACAATAAACAAAATATCACGATACTCACAAAACAAAATCAGAAGGAGAGAATTTTAACAAACAGATGACATTTTGTAGGATCCCAGCTCCCATGAAAAAAATAAAGAATGGCTGGGCATGATGGCACACGCCTGTTACCCAGCACTTGGGAGGCTGGGGCAGAAGGATCACCTCAAATTCAAGGCCAGCCAGGACGATACAGTGAGTTCAAGGCCAGCCTGAACTATATAGTGAGATCCTGTCTCAAAAAAAGTCAAGAATGGGCTAGGGATGTAGCCCAGGAGCGGAGTGTTTGCCAAGCATGCAAAAGGCACTGGGTTCAATCCCCTGCACAAGACCTGGAAGTTAAAATGCTTTATAGATCTAGGAAATGTATTTGCATACAGTCTAAGTGTTCTTCTTCAACTATATTCTCCACTTTTGAAATCTCACCTACTTCCATGGCTAGGCAGATGACTCAGAATTACTTTCCCAACTCAGGCAGTTTCCAATGCCTTACTGTGATCTCAGTTTGGACATTCTTAATTATACCCCTATCAAATCAAAAGCAACTTGCCTAAGGGCAGGGAATTTAACTCAGTTGTTGCAATCACCTGCCTCACAAGCACCAAGGTCTGGAGTTTGATCCCCAGCACCAAAAAAAAAAAAAAAAGAAAAAGAAAAAAGAAACATCAGGGCTGGGGATTTAGCTCAGTGGTTCGGTGGCCTCCCTTGCAAGCCCAAGGACCGGAGTTCAATCCCGGGCACAAAAAAAGAAAGAAACATGCCTAAAATACTTATCTTCCATCTTCACCTCAGATGTTTTACTTTTTCTATCTCCACTATTCTCCTTGTGTCTCCATTCTTCTCTTATCTTCACTCCTAAACTTGCATTTATCATTCTGGTTTTGTGCTTTCTCTGAAACCTTTCACATCCATACTTTTCTTTTTCCATTCCTGGCTCAAGTCCTTCTCCCAACCAAACTGGTTTTCTCGCTCTTCTGTCTAAACTCTGCCCTTTGCACTTTTTCTTACATTCCTTGTACTCTAGAAAAGCCCAACCATTACCACTCCAATCCAAATTCTTTCTACTTATTCTTGAAGATAACTAAGGTTATCCCATATTCCTTGCTAACCACCCAACTCTAGAAATACTTCCTTTGCTTCTGACTTCCTACAGTATTATTTATAGTTGAGCATTCATTTGGCAATTTAATCGTGTTGGCTTATGACAGCTCTTTAATTGAGACCAGATCAGAACTATTTATACCTCAACCTGAACAGTGCCCAGTACTGCACAAAGAAGTCATTCAGAAGTATTTCTTTTTGGATGGCTGATTTATTGATTGAAATTATACCTTTTCATGGAGATTGCTCTGAAAGGGAAACCTGAAAAGGCACGAGATGACAGCCAGACTATCATCAACCTGTCATCAATGGTTCCCTGATGTGGCCAAAATCGGGTTAAAACAAAGAAATCAGCCCCGTCCTTACAGAAGAGAAAGAATCCAGGTATTCACAAGTTCCATTCTTTTTTACAAAAGTTTGTGATGTTGATCTGCCCTACCCACCCACCCCACCTCCCAAACTCTGAAAACAACCCAAAGGTTTGAAGGAGTAGGTTAGATTTAGCCCCTCCTTCGCCATCTAGAAAACTTCAGGGAGATACTAGAACAACTCCCAAAATAGTTCCCGAAAAAGCACAGAGGCGATGAAGTGCTGGTGACAGGCACCTCGCCCGGGAACAAACACAAATCTACCCTCTGCCGGACAACCCACCCACGCAAAGAACGGGTTGCAAGGCGGAAAATAAGGGAGGGGGTCAGTGGGCTGCGGATATTTCCCGGTCTTCCAGCCCAGCTGCCGGGCGTTCCCCGCCTAGGTCGACAGCTCCCGGGCACTGCCAGGTGGTCCCAAGGGTCAGTCCCACCCAG